GCTGGCCGACGCTCTATCCACTGAGCCAAACCGGTTACAGTGGGGGTGCAGTTTCTTGAGATATTTTTTTACTGATAAGCTATGAAAGTGCAGTTTATTAAATGACTGCAAATATACTAAAAAATAAAGTCTAAAGCTGCACTGATACAGATGTATAGATGTTAACAGATATCAAAGAGGCCAGTGGAAGTCTTCATAACAGCCAGTCAAATTCCGGGGCATCCTGAGCTTTGGCTTTTTCCTTCCATCACAAGCATCTGACAGATAAAAATTATTCAGATTCTAAAGAGGAATGGCTCTCACTGAACTAAACTTTAAGGAGCACAAAACAAAGCATATAAATGAACTCTGCAGAGGGACACCAATCAGCAGTAAATTACATTAAGATGAAGTGTTTAAAAGAAAAGGAAAAGGGAATAATCCAGCCTCCTCTGCAATGGCCTATTATATCACCTTCATACATGACTGTTCTGCATAACGTTGTGTCCCGGGTGAACTTCTGCTGTGTGTTGTGCATTTGGGCCTACAGAGTGCTTGGCCCTCTCTGCTGTATGCACAGAATAATGGGCTGTACACACAGCTGGGTGCACGCTTCTCTCTGGTGCAGCCTGAACAGCCGAGTGACGATGCTTTAGGAATGAGGTCTGTGAGGCCTAGTCCATGAACCTGAAGTTCCCAGACCAGATGAAGGGCCTGTTCACTCCAACACAATGGTTACCATCCTACCAAGTGGCCTGGTCTCCACGGCGGGCAGAAGGACAAGACTCAGAGTGACGGTGAATGGGGGAGGAGTGGCTCTGCCAGCTGATGGAAGCTCTTCAGAGTCTGGAGGCTCACATCCTCCACCTGTCCCTCCTCTCCTGCCCCATCAGCACGGCTAACCGGGTTGGCTCAATTTTTTCCTCTCCCACCAAAAGCCCTTACATTGTCCTTTTGTGACATATTTTCTCCTTTGAGCTGCTTGTGACATGACCTTTGAACGATTTTACCTCCTTGAAAGAATTGGGTACCGAGAGATGCTGATGGAGGGGCTCTAACCACTACTCAGGTGGCTGCATTTCACAGGCTACTGCATAGGTGTTAAAGAAAAAAATTATTTTTATTTATTTAAAAAATATTTTTATTGATTTCAGAGAGGAAGGGAGAGGGAGAGAGAAACATCAATGATGAGAGAGAGGATTATTGATTGGCTGCCCCCTACATGCCTCCTCCTGGGGATGAAGCCTGCAACCTGGGCATGTGCCCTTGTCCGGAATTGAACGCAGGACCCTTCAGTCCGCAGGCCGACGCTCTATCCACTGACCCAAACCGGCTAGGGCATATTTATTTATTTTGAAATACGTTTTTATTTAATTTTAGAGAGAGAGGAAGAGAGAGGGAGAGAGGGAAACATCTGCCTCCTGCACACCCTCACTGGAGATCTAGCCGGCAATCCAGACATGTGTCCTGACCAGGAATCGAACTGGTGACCTCTCAGTGCACGGGACAATGCTCAACCAACGAAGCCACATCAGCCAGGGAAAAGAAGAATATTTGAACAGCAAGAAAGAGTTGCTGCAACAAAAAACTAAATTTCTAAGTTTCAGAGGGGAATTTAGTGATTCCTGGAAGAAGCCACTTAGTAAGGCACTAGCTTTATAGTACAAACGGGAAGCAGCAGGTGTGGATTCCGGAGTCAGGCTCCCTGGCTTTGAATCCGGGGCCTGGCACTCACTAGCTGCGTGAGTCTAGGCAAGTAACTCAGTCTTCCTGTGCCTCAGTTTCCTCAGCTGCCTCGTAGCGCGGTGAGAACAAAATGAGTTAATCCACGGAAAGCACTTAGAAGAGTGATTTGGTAAGCAGTCTACAAATGCTAAGCATTGTTGTCACTGCAGCAGAGCATTTTTGTTTGCAATCTATACTCTACTTCAGTGTGAATGAGGGCATTGTTCCATAGCAATACACAGTGAACAACGAAATGAGAAAACTGGAAATAAAGGAGGGTAAGGATCCATTAAGAAGCTACACTTCACTGTGTGACGTGGGCCATCAGCACATGGCCCTACACCTTGCAGAGTTACATGGTTCTGTCTGTCTGCTAAAGGAAGCATGTAGATTTTTCCTAGGAAACAAAAATTTTAAAGTATGTGTCTTTCAAGTCATTTATTATGTGGATGCTTAAGTTGGGAGAAGCAAAGAGAAAATCAATTTCTTACGGAAACACCAGAAAATGACTAATCATGCAGAGAACAGACCCATGACTGCCCGGGGTTGGGGATGTGGAGGGAGGGGTGTGGCTGACTAAAGGGGTAGCCCGAGGGAGCTCTCTGTGGTGATGCAATAGTTCTGCACCTCGATCGCAGTGATGGCTACCCACCTGACAAAATGGCAGAGGACTAGACACACACAATGTGCCAATGTTGATTTCCTGGTTTTGACATTATTTGCTAGTTATGCAAGATGTAACCATTGATAGAAACTGGATTAAAGGTACACCGGGCCTCGTGATTTGGTAAGCAGTCTACAAATGCTAAGCATTGTTGTCACTGCAGCAGAGCATTTTTGTTTGCAATCTATACTCTACTTCAGTGTGAATGAGGGCATTGTTCCATAGCAATACACAGTGAACAACGAAATGAGAAAACTGGAAATAAAGGAGGGTAAAGATCCATTAAGAAGCTACACTTCACTGTGTGACGTGGGCCATCGGCACATGGCCCTACACCTTGCAGAGTTACATGGCTCTGTCTGTCTGATAAAGGAAGCATGTAGATTTTTCCTACGAAACAAAAAATTTTAAAGTACGTGTCTTTCAAGTCATTTATTATGTGGATGCTTAAGTTGGGAGAAGCAAAGAGAAAATCAATTTCTTACGGAAACACCAGAAAATGACTAATCATGCAGAGAACAGACCCATGACTGCCCGGGGTTGGGGATGTGAAGGGAGGGGAGTGGCTGACTAAAGGGGTAGCCCGAGGGAGCTCTCTGTGGTGATGCAATAGTTCTGCACCTCGATTGCAGTGATGGCTACCCACCTGACAAAATGGCAGAGGACTAGACACACACAATGTGCCAATGTTGATTTCCTGGTTTTGACATTATTTGCTAGTTATGCAAGATGTAACCATTGATAGAAACTGGATTAAAGGTACACCGGGCCTCTCCTTACTATTGCAACTCCCCTCCCGAGGGGTCCCAGACTGTGAGAGGGCACAGGCCGGGCTGGGGGACCCCCCTCCTCACCCCCCCCCAAGTGCACAAATTTTTGTGCACCGGGCCTCTAGTTTCAATATAAAAAGTAAAAAAAAAAAATCCTATTAGAAATATTTTTCAAATGGATATGACTTACGCTGCCATTAAAATATCATTGCATGATTGGTTTGAGTTTTAATTTTGATTTGAAAGAGTTAATTTCCTTAAGATAATTTTAAGTATTTTTCCTTTCCCTCAGCCACCCCCAAATCTCAGAGATCTTGCCATAGCCTTTAATCACATAAATAAAAACGTTAACATTTATTTCAAATTTTTATTTTCTTTCTCCATCCAGGCCCAATTTTTCTGACCAGTACTGGCAAGCCGCTGATCCTTCAATTTCCCACTAATCCATGTCCAATCATTTGCTCACTATCTACCCATGTGGAAGCAGTCATTGCAATTCTGAGTTCTCTTGATTTTTGTCAATATTTCTGGGTTACTTTAAAAAATATATATTTCGTATTTCTTTATTGATTTTAGAGAGGAAGGGAGAAGGAGAGATAGAAACACCAATGATGAGAGAGAATCACCGATGGGCTGCCTTCTCCACACCCCCCACTGGGGATCGAGCCCACAACCCAGGCATGTACCCTTGGCCGGAATCGAACCTGGGACCCTTCAGTTCGCAGGCCGACACTCTATCCACTGAGCCAAGCTGGCCAGGGCCTGGGTTACTTTTTTATTTTTTGCAATAAGATAACATTTATGTACTGTGATATTCTCTCTCTCTCTCTCTCTCTCTCTCTCTCTCTCTCTCTCCTCCCCCGCCCCACCCCAGCTGTTCTCTGATGCTGAGCCTCTGAAATCCCTAAGATTCTCAAACTGACAAGCACTGAGTTTGTTCTGAGAGGTGGGTTACACAGCTACCAGGTACGTGTCCATTACACGGTAAGACAGGAGCCATTCCGGGGTTTGTAACATTAACCACAGGCGTGTGTGTTTACCTTCCCACCTCTCAGGTGATTTATAAACCTGGCAGCTGCCTTTTGTTTGCCTGGACCCTGCTTCAAGCACCAGTCTCCACTCGGCTGGTACTATGACTGGGGGGACCCAGACACCTACCTTTCATCTGCACGAAGTCGAGCTGGTGAATGGACTGCAGCAGAGGGCTGTTGTCCAGACTCAAGTCGAAGTCTGTGGTCATCCTGGGAGTGAGCGTGCCTTTCCCCCACTGGTCCTCAGTCAGGTGCACTCTCCTTATGAGGGCGTCAGAAATCTAGTCACATCAAAGACCACAGCCTAAGAAATACACCACCACAGTGGCCACAGGACACTGCCCTCAACTCTGCCCGAGTGTCACCAGCAACCTTCCTTGGGACTCACACCTTCCTGACTCTGTGCAGGTGGGGAGGAGCCGGTAAGGGTGAGGGTGACCCATGATTTATCATGCAAATCTGGACACTTTTGTGAGTCAGAGGGGGTGATATAAAAGTCAGCAGCTGTTAATTGGTCTAATAGACAAACCTGGATGGATGATTATGCTGTTTAGGACAGATCAGCTTAAAGCCAGCAACATTAAATAATGCTATGTTGGTGACTAATGACTCCTACTAGAACCAACAACCCTGATTCTCACCTGAGGTGTGGGTATCCTGTCATACTTGGAAATGAGTTTTACAAGTAGTTTAGAGAGGCTGCCTATGATAATCTGTAGAATGGGATTTGTTACATTTTAAGATGTCATCCTCTTCATGTATCACTCTATTCTTTGGCAGAGAGCGCTTTCATTTTTTATATTTAGTCTCTGTCATTCTTGGCCAGTTTGGCAGAAAGTGACTTGCAAGTGATCTACATGGTCCTTAATTACAGGTCCCTTAATCATTGGGATGGAAAGTTAAATAAAATTCAACTGACATCATAGCATCTCACTAAAACAACTAATACTGAAGAAATCACGAGACATCCAAGGAATTGAAAAATGTCACTTTTTGGGGGGGAAATCATGGACATATTGGCAGTAGGAGGTGTCAAGAAGATAGAAACCTTTCATACTTAGGACTGGTTGGAATCTGGCCTTGGTAGAATCAATCTCATGGGGCATTGAGGATCTGAAGCAGAAACTAATTGATACTTACCTGCAAAAAGCCACTAGGATCATTTTCCTTTATCACCTCCAGGCAGTACTCCATGAGACCTGTGGTCTGGCGCAATTTCACTGTGCAGTGAGAGATCTGATCTCGAACCACCTAGGATCGATGACAGAACAGAATGGTCCAAAAATGGCAGAGAGTAGAAAAGAAGCAAACTGGGACTTTGGAAAGCTTCTTCAAACCAGAATCCAAGAGCATCATGGAGCAAAACTGAATTTATGAGACTATTTTGTGGCAATGTCTGCTGTGGACAACGACCCCAGAGGACAGATTGGATAATGGCTCTTACAGGAACTTGTAACAACAGGACCCACCAGAAAGTCTTGCAGATTGAAATCATGAGAACCTGGCTACCTTGGTACCTCCAAGGACATCTTCCACAGGCCCCCCTTACTCTCCTCTTGGGAAGCGGATGACCCTGAGCTGCTGGAAGTGGGGGGTCACAGTTTGTGAAGGAGCTGAGCCACTTGAGGTTCAGCTGCAGCTCCCGCGCTGGAACACAGTAGCCCGCCTTCTCTCACCGCTTCTTGTCCCTTCTAAACAGCAGACATCACCTGAACCCAGTTCCTTTCTCAATCTGACTCTTCAGGTGGGTGGTGGAGTGGGGGTGGGGTGGGACTTGTTGGAAAACAATGAGCTAATGACCAGTAAGCCAGAGAGAGATGGCTGCAGAATTAAGTTTTAAGAATAACCCACTTAGAATCAGCTCATTTTGGAAAGCAGTTTTAAAGGCTGTCCTATTTGCCAAGCTGTGAGTCAGCTTTAACCTAGAAAGGCAGTTTCTGCCTCTGGGAAGTTGTCTCTGCCCAGTGTCAAACGCAGGACAGCCCCTGAAAAGTTTCTTTCTTCAGAGATGTTCATCCTGTGTGTCCTCTGCTCAGTGACCCAAATCCTGAGGTGGTTTCTGAAGCACAGAGTTGAACAAGATTTTCCTGGGAATCGCAATCACTCACATGCGGATATTCATGCTACTTTGCAAAAGCCTCAGAAACATCCAGCAGTCCAGATTTCATAGATAATAACTAAAGGAGTTTAAATAATTATTTGATGTCTTTTCCTTGTTCCCTCTTTCCATTTGTTATTATAAATTTATTTTCCTTTGAAGATTATTACATATACTTTCCAAAACAATTGAAAGGGAGATGGGGAAAAATCAAATCATCTCACCTCTCTTTATTTTTTCTTTTTAATAAATACTTTTTCTCATAGCATGCTCATCATAGCATCTGGAGGGATACCACTAATGAATTTTTAGTCTAAGTAAATATTAACATTCTATTTCTCCTGGTTCAAGAAATTCTTTTAAAATATAATGTATACTATCCCATCACAGTTTAAAACCAATTCCCCTAATTATGAGGTAATCCATTTTTTTTTCTATTTGAGGTACAAGTACTTTAAAGATGCATGCTTGAATTTATTCTTCACAGGTCATTTTGGTCAATGGGGGAGTTTCTGTGTGTACCATCATGTCTTAAAGTAGTGGTTCTCAACCTTGGCTGCACATTAGAATCACCTGGGAATCTTTTTAAAATCCTGATTTCTGGGCTTCATCCTCCGGAAATTCTGTTTCTTTGTTACTAATGTTGTGGCCTCACCCCATAACCAAGAAACAGAATTTCCAAAGGATGAGGCCCAGAATTCAGGATTTTAAAAAGATTCCCAGGTGATTCTAATGTGCAGCCAAGGTTGAGAACCACTGTCTTAAAGCAAGATAACCAATTAATGCTTGAAACTGACTCATTTGTGAATTACAGGTGAAGCACCTTGGCCATTAGATTAATTTTATACAATAAAGAATTCTCCTGTTATTTTCCTAGAGTTGAATGTTATCTCCCATATTATCATTACATTCACTGAAACTTTTTTTTTTTGAGAAAGAACATCTTTATTTTGTCACATGCCACCGTTCAGACCTTCTGTGACTTTTGCTCCTACATGGTGGGAAGCAGAGGACCACAGAATTTGCCAAATGAATCTGAAAGGAATTGTCCATTAATAATAGGCTTGCAATCAATAATAATTGAGGCTTAATTATTAGAGTTGAGCCCCTAACGAGTTCTGATGAGAGCAGCTGAAGGTTTGAAGTTGTTTACAGTGTGCCTAATTTTTCCAAATGTCTTCATTCTAATAGATTAACTGAACTCCTAGCCAGTAGTAGTTTTATTGGGATTGAGCTGATTATTGGCTGAAATTTGTTGCCTTTTCTTTCTAGTAATGGCTGTAGCCAGTCAAATGCTATATAATTATTTTAAAATTCTTTGTGAACTTGAGCAGATAATCCTTCTTCCCTTCCTTCTTTCTTCCTCTCTTTCTTCTTTCTTCCTTCCCTCCCTTCCCAGTCCCTCTCTCTCTCTCTCTCTCTCTCTCTCTCGCCTATTATGAATCAATGGTAAAATAGCTGAAGTAAGCAGTTTGACAAGCCAATAACATCCCTAGTGTAAATTTGTACTCAGTGATATGGCCATATAATTAGTTTTTAACAAACATAATGGGACCATAACAGGCAATACATAGTAAATAATAACAAAGATAATGATGACAATAATAATAATGATTCTCACAAAATCCAACAGTACAGTAAGATTCAAAATCAAGCATTCTATAGATAATTACAATTGGGGTATGGAGACCCTCTATAAATATGAAAAGCTACATAAAACAGTTAGCTTTGTCAATATCCCTCGGCATTCTCACTGAGTAATTTTGTTGGTATGTTTTACCAACCACATATGGAAATTAAAGATTATACTTCCCCAGCATATTTTTGAATAACTATAACTTTCTTTTTCCAGAGGATCTTGGAGTTGAAAGGTAATTAAGACACCTATCACACACTATTCAACATATGAATTCATTAAAAAATGTTGGAGATAGAATACACTTAAGATAATTATTTCAAATTCTGAACATTACATAAATAACAATAATTATCTGATATTTTCTTTGGGTTTAGCAAATGAAAAATAGCATTTGTAAAGTTCCTGAGAAAAGCATAGATCTCATTAATGAGACATTTTACTGTAACTTGTCACAAATTCCCTGTGAGGATCTCACAGAGAGGACAATACTCAGGGCCTTGCTCAGCGAGGGCAGACCTGGGAAGGATGTTAACAAACATGCAGACAGGACAGGAACCTGGGATCCAGTCTATCTGTTCGTCAGGAGGATATTGCCCAGGAGTTCCAAATATGACCTGGTAATATTTCTTGAAAGCTCAAAAGCTTTCCTTCTCTCCAGTAGCTTTCAGACATTTGCTTTAGTTCACCACATCCTGAAAATAGATATTTGGCTCCCAGTGCTTTTTTCAAATCACAAAATAGTATCAACTGTGATTTACATTTCAAATAGTTTTCCTAAAATATGGCCACATCTGCATATGTCTCAAAGCCTTTTTTAAAAAAAGCTTTTAAAAATAGCTTACCCAACTTTGTGAACTATTTTGTAGGATGATTAATTATAAACTCAGGCCACTAAAGAATGTCTGAGGTTCAGAGACAGTGACACCCATGCATAGGCTAATTCTACACTATAAACTACTAGAGGCCCGGTGCACGAACTTGTGCATAAGTGGGGTTTTTCGGCCTGGCCGGTGATTGTGGCTGCAGGAGGTTGGCTGTGGGAGCGCACTGCCCACCAGGGGGCAGCTCCTGCGTTGAGTGTCTTCCCCCTGGTGGTCAGTACGTATTGACCGGTCGTAACCGTTGCTTAGGCTTTTATATATATAGATGGTTTATGAAGAGTAAGCCTCTAGGAGCCCTTCTTCAGTGTGCTGAGGGAAACCAGACTTTCAGTCATTCTCTCTCCTTAATAACATCAATAATAATAGCAAATATTTTTTGGGTACTGTGTTCAGCATTTTTCAATGTCAGATGAAGTGATGACTACTTCAGCCTTATTTTACAGGTAAAAGAAATGGAGACTTAACACTTGCCCACAGTTAGAGACCCAGTAAATGATAAAGGGTGTCCTCAAACCCCATTCTCTCTGACACAGAGACTGGGCTCTTCACCACTCAGCTCCGTCTTGCTTCTGAAGCAGAACCGCTCAATGTGCTCAAGCCATCAGCGCTCTCAGAGAGGGCCTGAGCAGACTGTAAAGGCTGTCTTTATACACGCTCGCTTTCCAGCACCCCCAGCCTTTGGGGTTGCTCAGGAAGAGAAAGTTGCCAGAACACACACACACACACACACACACACACACACACACACACACACAACTCTCCTCTTTGTCAGCAAAAAGCTTCCCCAGAGAACTCGGCCACAGGAAGCGGAAGACCATAAGATGACCCCTGCCAGACTGTGAGGGATGGGTTAGCCAGCAAAGACAGAAAGAACTGTGCTTGGCAAGTGATGTCCCTAAAAGGCCAGTCCTTTCTCACAAATCCGAGTAGCAACAGAAGTGACAAGAAAGGGAAAAGGCGGGAGGAGAACAGCAGCGAGGGAGACAGGGAGGCTGGCATCGGCAGTCACGGCGTCGGCACTGCTGGCTGTTTTTAGAAGCAGTGACAGATACAATCAGCTGAAACAGCAGAGAAACAAATCGCTCCAGACAGAAGACAGAGCAGCTTTGCTGCCGCGGGGGACACCCAGCCACCTGTCTCCGGTTTCCATGGCCCTTTGGGATCTGGGGCAGGGAACTCCGCCCTGGGCAGAGTGAAATGAGGGCAGGCCCCTCTGCTCAGCAGCCCCCAAGAGCTTTAGTGTGCCCTGATGCGTTAAAACCGCTCCTGTGTGGTCTCCATCTGCATCCACAGCACAGCCTGTAACGCGTTTTCATACAGTACCATCTGCAGAGGCAGCACTAAGGAGGGGCCTGGGGAGCTTCATGCCCCTCTGCCACCTTTTGATATAAATAAGTGATGCTTTCTTAATCTCTCATTTCCTCTTCCATCCAGATTCCTGCCCTTACATCGTCCCAAATAGGAAACTTGAAGTAGCCACGATAGTCACCATCCATATAATTTATCACAAACTGTTCGCTGTGTTCAGTTTTATAATGCCAGGAAAGTGTCTACAATATTTTAGAAAAGACATTTCCATTGAGAAAACATTACAATGTTATGGCTAGATACTAAAACCATTGGCCCATTATTTAGGGAAAACCCCAGCTGTACGGCTCATTTCCTAAAGACAACTGTGTTTTTATTTTAGATCACTCTATGCGATTGATTCAAAAGGTATCTTGAATTCTGCTATAGCAACCAGAGTTCTGGCTTTCTGAAGCTGCTGAAATGAAGGGCTAGAGTGGCGATCGGTTAATAATGGCAGAGCAGCGACAGAATCAGAACACGTGGATCAGTCCTCATGACTACCCAGATGGAGCAAGGCCAGGGTGCAGTGTGCTAACCACCGTCTGCCTCCCTCCACGCTCTGCCGAATCCCACAGGCGAGAACGTAAGCTGCCACGAGCACACACCTCCCAAAGTTTGGGCAAGGCCAGGGCCAGCTCTCCTGTGATTCCCTCTGTGACCCTTTCAGCTGCAAGTAATTGTACCCTCCTCCTAACTTCCATGCTCTGGCCACCTCCCCTCTGAAAGCTCACTCTCTACCTGTGTTGAAGTCCTCTGTGGGTGTGATTTATCTCATCCCCTGAAATGTAAGCTCTGGAAGGGCACATCTCATCCTGGGCCACCTCCTCTCTCCTCCCCGGCTTCCCCACCCAGCACTCGGCTCCTAGCAGGTGTGCATTAGGTGCTGGCAGACTGATGAGATGGTGGGGGTTGGGACAGGCCTTCTGTGTGCATTGTGCTTCTACCAGCCAGTGGCAGTACAGATTCTGGGCTCCGAAGCCAGGTTTCCAGCACTGGAATCCTGGATCCTTGGACCAGTTCCTAATATCATGGTGCCGTGGCTTCTCACCTCTAGAATGGGGATAAGAGTAAGAATGACCTTGTGGAGGTGTTGGGAGGAATTGAGGAGCTGATCCCTGCAACACCGTTTGCACAGTGCTGCCTCAGAGCAGGTGCCCTGAGTGTGAGCGATTGCTATTAGGAAAGCCGGGGCTTGGTTGCCAAGAATGCTCATTCTTGTGTTGCTCCCTGGGCAACTATAGAATCACATTTCAGAGCATGTCTGGATTTTAATTCAGTTTAAAAAAATGGCGACTCTTGGAGAATGTTTCACTCAGACCTAACGCGACTATCTTGGAGGAAAATGTTTATGGAGTAGAAATATTTCCCAGGTTGTTGCAGCTAAATCGATAAGATTGATATCTACCTGATAAAACTTTCAGGGAATTTTTTTGGTTAAAAAACAGTAGTTTTAATACTGCTCCCACTTTCTTCCCCACATATTAGGAATCACTACATATGTTGCCATGAGACACAGCCCAGTGGTCCTTCAGGGAATTCAAACGCAAATAACTTGATCCCAGACTTTAGGATACTGGAGTCTGGGAACTGATGAGCTAGAGAAAGCCATGTAGGTAAAACTAGCCATTATTCCACACTTTGGGAATTAAGCACCACACAGGTGCCTCCTTTGAAAGCCCAGGGCCTCCTGATTACCTTCAGCTCCAGGGCACTGGCTCCACCAGGCGGGGCCCGAGTTGGTTGTAAGATGAACCTGGGAGGGTCTTCCAGTTAGACTCAGCACCAGGAAACAGTATTGGTCTCTCTGGAAGGAGTGTTATAATCCCCAGCCTGGGACACTTTCCTTTCCGTACTCCTGGTTCAGATTCAACTTCAGGATGTGCAGTTTTCTCTATCAAGGACTCTGCCGTGCCTCTCCTTGATCAAATTGTGCTTTTGCCGTCTCACCAGGAACGCTCAGAGACATGGTTCTGACCCAGCGCCAGAGGAGGTCTCACTGGCTGCCTTCATCAGGGGCATAGCTCTCGTCAGCCCCTTCTGGGCTGGGCCCCTTGGTCACAGCGCAGCCTTCTGTCCGCCTCCATTCCACAGGCCCCTTCAGTGACAGCTGCGCAAGTCACAGAGGCAGGGGAGAAAGGGTTATATTCCAGCCACACGATGGCCCTGGCTTTGGGGAAGGAAGAAGCAGGTATGTGGCTCTTCATGGGTTTTGAGGAGCAACAGGTGGGCATTGGAGGAGGGTGCCTTAGAGGAGGCAGCTGGAGTGGGGGTTTTCTTCACCTCTGGGGAGAAGCGGGCATCTTCCAGGGGAAATGGTGCTCTTTATGGTGCTGCCCGGCTCCCTGTGCGCCTGAGCTCCGGCTCCTGGTGTGGGGGTGGGGCACATAGGAAGGACTGGTGACTGCTGTTCAGGGCTCAGCATGGCAGTCTTGCTGCAGGCTTGCCCAGGCCTCCATGCCCCTGTTAGCACCTGGTTTCCTGCCTTGTTTCTCATAACCACGAACTGGGTACTGGCCTGGCTTGAAGCTTCCCTGCCACCAAGCTGTAGTGTAAAATCTTGTCAGTTGTGTTCTCTTATTTCTTCATTTTCAGACTTTTCCTTGGGTCTCCTAGTCTTAGTCTTTTAGATGTGGGGCAGTTCTCTTATCTTCTAGGGCAGTGATGGCGAACCTTTTGAGCTCGGCGTGTCAGCATTTTGAAAAACCCTAACTTAACTCTGGTGCCGTGTCACATACAGAAATTTTTTGATATTTGCAACCATAGTAAAACACAGATTTATATTTTTGATATTTATTTTATATATTTAAATGCCATTTAACAAAGAAAAATCAACCAAAAAAATGAGTTTGCGTGTCACCTCTGAGCTTAAAAGGTTTGTCATCACTGGACTAGAGCCTGTCCCAGACTTGCGTGGATACCTGATACTAACTGCAATGGTCACCAGCTCTCAGCTCCCCCGCGGTTGTGCCCACTCACCGCTGCCCACTATGGAAGCTCCTTGATGCTGACCGCCCAACCCCAACAGAGAGCTTATGGACACCTCATTTCTTCTCTCCCCCCGCCCCGACCCAACCCCAGGCCAACACTGCACACTGCACACCCACCACCCGCTGGTTGCCACCCACAGGCTTGCTGGCCATGTATGTGGACCTGTGGTGACTTCCTACTTCTGAGCTCCCCTCAGCTGGGCTCTTCCCATCGACCCAGCCTGCTCTCAGCTGCTGCTGTCCTGCTCCAATGGGGCCGTGAAGGGGTATCACCTGCTCCAGGACAGTCCTTCTGCCAACAGGGACCCAGACTTGTAACTGATTGATTCCACCTTGTGATGACAAGTGTGTACAGCTGTCCAAATGCACGATTCACTTCGAAGTTAAGACAAGTCTTGTTTGCTTTCTGGGAAGTACAGACTCCATTTCCCGATTCAAACACACTTTACGTCTCTGCATGGCCACTCTGATCACCTGCCTAAAATTTCAGCCACCATCCCCAGTATTCCCAGCCCTGTTTCCTTACTGTTTTCTTAGCACTTTTCACTAATATACTGGATCTTCCTTACTTATCTTGCTTATTATTTATCCTTCCTGGTAAATATAAGCCCCATGAGGGCAGGGATCTTTATTTATTTTATTATGCCTGTACCCAAAGCAATTTCTGACCCAGAGGAGTCACTCCACTAATATTGATGAGTGAAATGAAGAAGCGAGTGGTGAATAAAGGGCTATGCCCACCCCTTGCCAGCCAGGCCACTGGCCACCCAAGGCTGTGGGCATCCTGCTCCCCCCTCCCGTCTAGCCTGTTGTCACAGCCCTCGGAGCCCAGATCCGTGGCTTTCTGGTCCCCCCACAGCCCAGCACTCACCTTCAGCTTGTGCTCATGCTCCTTGTTGACGCGTGCAAGCAGCTGGGCTTTCCTCCTGTTGAGGGCGTCGATGAGGGCATCACACTGGGCCACTAGGCAGGCCTCAAACTCCACACTGTTCTCCTGTGTGAGAGAGCACACCTCTCAGCCAGAAGGCGCCGGAGAAAACAGAGCTCGCCCGTCCACTGTGGGTAGAGATCCCCACTGAAGGGAAGGAAGGAGAGCTCTATCCACAATGCACATTTGCCATCTCAAAAGTAAGTGTATAAATTTCATTTTATAGTGGTTGTGTTTTGCTCTAAATTTAGATCAAAAAGGGAGAATATCACTTGATCAACTTATTTTTAGCAAAAGGGAATCATCTCCAAAGTCTGAATTATATTAAACAAAATCAAGCTTTGTTTGCAGAGTTGCACATGAATCCTTTTGAAGGCTGGCGTATGTTCAGCTGTGTTTGGTGGAAGGTGACATTCAGAAAGGCTGGTTGCCTGAGGGGGTGGGTACTGTTAAGGCACAAGAGATGAAAGTGTCACTGAATTCAGGGAAAGAAATAAGAAAGAGAATGGCAATGGTCTTCAATATTAAACCATAATCAGACGACACCTGAAGTTTGTAAGAATAATCATGGACAAGAGTGCTCCTTTCATTAAGGAAAGCCAAGTGAACAGAAATGGGTAGGTTGTTAAAGTCAGACATGAACCAACAGCTTGTGGGGGAAGGTGACCACGTTCTAAATGAATGATAGCTTCCCCACGGTGCTTAAATTGAATGCTGGATCTACATTTTTTAATTAATTACACATTCATTTTAAGCAATTCTTTCACTAAATTATAAGCAATGTTAAGTTTTGGTTTTTGTGGCACTTGCTTTGAGTTCTCAGAGAAGCCCCCAGAAAACATCATGTAAGAGCGTTCTCTGTCCCATGCAGGGCAGTACTGGGAGGGAGAGGGGAGCTTTCTCCTCATAGGCTCTGATTTGGACCAGAAGGAAAGCTTTGTCTGATGAAGAGGTGGGGTTCAGAGGCGAGCCTGGGGCTGCATATTTTATGCCAGAAAAAGCAAAGAAGAGGCTCTATTGCTTGAGAAATAGAAGGATGTGTACAACTGTTAGGTTGTTAAGGAATTAGAAATTTTAACATGGGCATATATGCCAAAAATAGGCAAAGAAATCCGTGTGAGATGATTTAGAAAGAAGGCTGACTTACAGTAAAAAAACCATTTCCGCCTTGACATGGGTTAATTATTAGTTCAGAAAGACAATTTAATGGAGGGAAGAGCTCAGGTTACTTCTCTGGTAAATAGTGCAGAAAGTCATTATTTTAGCATATCATGCAATTTATGGCTTCTCTCCTTTAGCTCTAGGGAAGAATTCACCAGCTTCCAGATGCTGGCTGATCTGTTGGTCATTGTGTCCAGATAAAGCAATCTGAAATTATGGTCACCAGGAGATCGTGGTTGAAAAATATTTAAGTATCTAAGTAGAGGAGAAGCATCACTCTAGGGTAGAAAAGAAGGAAAGAGGAAGAAAAGGAAGGGAAGAAGGAAGGAAGAAAAAAAAGAGTAAGTGCGATTTGTTTGTTACCATTAGATAAGATATAATCATTGCAAGGTGCTTTGGGAACCTATAGAGTTTAAAAAACTCAACAACAATGACTACATTCATTTAGAAAGTAAATGAATATTTAGAAAGTAAATGTATTTAGAAAGTAAACCTCTTTCTAAATACACAGCAGTGGAGAATTAGGACCTCTGTGTGGAAGATGGGAACTACTTGGAAAACCAGGTTCTTTCTGGCTACTGGCAAATGTAACACCTCAAGAAGGAACATGTCAGAAGCTGGTCTGTATGTGTGTTTGTATGTAATGGAAGAGACAGAGCAGAAGAAAAGAACTAGGATTTCCCCCACAACACATAGAAATAACAGAGAAGAAACAATCTCCCTCATCACATAGTTTCATCTTGTCCTATGGGGTTTGCTGCCTGTCTCAGGAGCTGCTGCCTCAGGTACCTGGATCTGCTGGACCATGTTGCGGAGCTGCACCAGGAACTCCTTGGCTTCTTTGGCCCTGTCCGACAGCCCGTTCAGCGCCTGGGACAGCTGGCTCTGCAAGACAAAGAAGGAAGACATGAAGCTATAATCACATGACGCAGCAACAAGATCAAACAGGGCAGTGTTGACCCGAGGCCCAAGAGTCCTCGGCCCCCTCAGATTGCTCTTGTCTGAGTCAGGCCACTTAGCCGACATTGGTACATGTGGGTTCTGATATAAAGGGTCTCCCGATGCCTTCCATAGGCTCTGAGTAGCTTCTTTTCTGATGAAGTGAGACCTTCTGGCCATGCAGTCAAAGGCCCTGGCCCGCTGATATTTGCCTGGAATTTCCTCATCTCATTAAGTATTAATTCAGCAATAATTTATTCAATGCCTATTACTTGCAAGAATTAAAAAAAAAGCAGAGTCAGATGATCTGATAATTATCAACATTATCTAGCCCAAAGGCCTATTGGTGTGGGGTCGGGGCAGAAGGAGTGAAGAGAGTAAAGAACAGGATGAGGGAAGGAAGGAAGCATCCCAGTGTGATGCTCTGAGGCCATTTAAATGGAAAGATAACTACAAAGCAAGGCCATTCATTCTTCCTCATTAACATCCTCTTTCTCCCAAGGACAGCCCTGTTGCCTATCTCCTCTCCACACTAGCCTCCTAAACCAAGGCCTGATTTCTGTGATATCCCCCCCCACCCCATCCATATAGGGAAGCAGTTCTGCTGGGGGCACATGTCCAGGGAAGCACTTGCTTTCCCAGCCTCCCTGTCTGCTGGGGTGGCCATGGGACACACCCCTGATGGATGAGACCTAAGTGGGAGTCATCTGGGGCAGGTAGAGTCTGAGGAAGCCTCTGCATTTCTGCAAACATGGTCCCAGTGTTGCAGATGCACTCTTCTTCCCTTTTGTTCCTGACTTTATGACAAATTTCGTGTGATTCTCAAGAGGAGAGGGCCAACCTGATAAGGGAGCAGGGGTAGGAAGAGAAAGAGCCTAAGCTCCAATGGCATCTGTGAATAGCTGAACCAACGCTTGAGGTCTCCTACCACTAGGCTTCTTGTTAAACTAACTCCAGGTTAAGTCCCTGCACTGGAGTTTCCCATCACTTGCAACCATCACCATTGCACTTGATACAAAATCTCATCACCTGGCAGCCTGGGCATGTCCTTCCATCCCTCCTGTAAGCTACAGAGACAAACGCCCTTTCCCACATGTCTTCTTTGAAAATGAAAGCCCACTCTCCTCCTTGCCAACACAATGCCCCATCCACTTTTTCCTCTCAGAAAAGAGACAGAATCTTAAAATTGTATCTCTAGGTCCTGTGTCTGTTTTGCAGTTATATTTGCCTTATTAAATACAAAGTTGGGCACTAAATCTCTTTGAGAATATGTATGCCAAGTGCTTGGTGGAAGCAATGTAGAGTAGGAGAAAGAACAAAGAAAGCCTTTGGAAGGGTTTAAATTCTGGCTCTGTCCCTTACTAAGGGTGACCCTGAGAAAGTTAACTTGTGGCTGAATTATTCCAATGGGCAAAATGGGAATAATAATAATAATAATAATAATACTTTGCAGTTGGATTATTGTGAGGGTTTAGTGTATTCACTAATGTGAATGTTCCTGCTAGTTAAGGGTAGTGGTTAAGGGAACTATTCTGCATTAATAAATGCTGCCAGTTACTGGCTGTTCAAACTTTTACCAATAGTTTTACCTTATCCATAAAATGAGAAGAATACTGTTACTCTTGGAGGTTGTGGGCATTGTGTGATATACAATCCCTAAAGCCACGCTGGTGCATGGTGCATGCTTAATAAACATTGACTGTTATCAACTCTTTTTTACCTTCTTCCTTCCTGCTCACAAATGCCTGCTGACTGACTGGGGACATTTGAAGGAGAGATTCCTGTAGAAGAATGTACTTTGTCACTTGTGCTTTGATTGATGTACTCAGACTCTGGGAGGCCAGACCAACAACATAACAGAATAAGAAAAAGCATAAAATGAGACTACACTTGTGAAAGGTCTGGAGTGGGCCGGGGTCGCGCACCTATGACACGAGGCCATAATGTATCAAAAGAGATTTTATTCCGACCACCTGGGTGCAGGTGGGCTGATGCTGAGAAAGGCATCAGTGAAGAGGGCAGGGAGAGATAGGTTTTTATTCATCCTTGCTGGCTGTGAGCCGCTCTGCTGACATAAGGGTCTGGTGTGTCCTTGGTTCCTCCCATGCCAGGTGTCTTCTGGTTATCTGAGGTATGCTGTGCTCAAGGCTGCAAGCTTTCTGCAAGATATCTGCTAAGCACAAAAGTCTTTCTCTGCCCCGTTTTATTCTCTTTAACCCTTTCAACTTACTGAAAGGGCTACTCAATTCTTTATTACTAGGTCCCAACTGCACTATAATTTGGGGTAAAGTTTTCTCCTCAAGAACTTTTTCCAAGAGCCCAAGGGATGAAGGGAGAAGAGGATCTCATTCAGAAGAGCAAGCAATAAGATGAGAGACATATTCCAAAGGAGGCATTTTTCACTGTTCTTTGGAACTAACTCATAGCCCTTCTTTTTCTGAATGAGCAAAAGCTGGCTGTGCCACCCCAGTTTCCTCCCCCTTTTGATTGTAACCTTCACCTTAGTAACATTTGGAGGTTGGAGTACAGAAGCCAAATTCATTCAGTTACAGAGAACCGGAGCTACCTAATTTCTTGCATTCCAGCTTTGCAATTAATTGTTTGTATAAAGTAGGTCAAACCTCCCCCTCCCACTAAAGAATTGTTGACCAAGTGCTGCTGTAAAATTATTCTGTAGTTGACAAAGAATGCTGGCCTCCTCCGCTCTCAGGATTGTATCTGGCAAAGCAATAAATGAGCTGCCAAATCTATTTGCAGATTTCCTCTCTTTGTGTCTATGTTAAGTCCTAAGGATGCCTTCTACCTGGCAAATGAGTGTTCTGGAATTTGAGAAACAACTGCATTATAAGATAAAGATCTAGAAACCTCTCTCTGAAGCTTTGCTAACTTGCAGAAATTGAGCAGGAGACAATGAAAAACACCGGAAACTGTGTATCACTGGAAAACGCTCTTCTCATTGTAAGGATTTATGTGTGTGTTCTTTTTACAAGATAGTCTTTTGATCACATTTGTAAACTCCATCTGACATAGAAGAACGTTATTATTGATGGATTTTGTTTCCCAGAAGCAATTAAATTCCTGCTCTGTGCTAACGGAGACGTTCTGTATCCAGGACCACAGAGTAGCCCTGTAAATTCATACCCGCACACTCGAGATGCAAATATTTAGTGTGTGTTTTCGGTACGGGTGCGCGCCATTAGAAGGTGTTTATAATGCCTTGGCAATGACATTCTGATTGCTTGGATATTTGTTTTCAAATTTACTGAAAAAGTGTCATGATCAGAAAGTGAATGAGAGTGGGAAAATGTAGCCAAAGAAGCACTGACAAATTTCCAGGCAAGCGCTCAGAGCAGGCTCTGAATAGCCAAGATCTCCCCAAAGGGTTCTAGTTGTCCGGAGCCTGAGGAGAGAAACAAAGAACCCTGCCTCCCCCTTCCCTCCTCTCCTGCTTTCCTCTCCAGTCTCTGCCCGGACTGGCTCCCCTGGCCTCCCAAAGGACAGAACGTTACAGGAGCGGGGGCTCAGCCTGGGAGTGCACAGGGAGGGTATCTCAAAGCCTGTTATGATTTAGGCTCAGCTAGTGGGTAAGGAAATTCCATGCATCCTGACCAACTCCTTACTTGCCTGTGCATCCACCCAGCCCAGCCCAGCCCAGCCCAGCTGCTAAGCAAGCACACACAGAAGACAGGGTCTTCCTTCCTTTCCCTGCCATGGACGTTATTCATGTGTCAACCTCCCCCTCCTCCCCAATTTACTACAACCATTGGATGGAGACAAATTGGGGCAAAGGAAGCTTCCTGGCTGCCTGGGGTCTGAAGTTACAGCACCCCTTGCTGCCTCCCCAGGGAGGCTCTGTCACAATGCATGCTGCTCAGGACTGCAGCCCCATCCACCTCCTTCCCAGGGACCGAGGCCAACACGAAACGCAGGAGCAAAGCGACAATCCAGGCAATGTGATCTGAAGGAAGTCCCCCCACCCCCCAACCCCACCCAGGGGAAGGGAATAACAATTTTTCTTGAAATACTGACGTTTGAGTCTCACTACGTACTGACATTATATAATTAAAAAGTAAAAGCAAGAAATTCTAATAGTTATAATATATTGGCCATTTACTTTAAGTGAGAAACTCTGACGGGCACCTTTAATATGAGCCCAATGTAATGCCGGTCACCACCCTGCCATTGGCAGAGGCTCAGGGGGCCGCCTGCTGCCCCGCTCCAGCCCCACCCAGGGGAATAACAATTTTTCTTGAAATACTGACATTTGAGTCTCACTACATACTGACATTATATAATTAAAAAGTAAAAGCAAGAAATTCTAATAGTTATAATATATTGGCCATTTACTTTAAGTGAGAAACTCTGACGGGCACCTTTAATATGAGCCCAATGTAATGCCGGTCACCACCCTGCCATTGGCAGAGGCTCAGGGGGCATACAGCTGGGCTCAGGTTTGACCACTCACATGTGGAAGAACCGAAACACAAACCCTTGTCTGACTCCAAAGTCATGCTCTTTGCCCCACCCTCCCAAAGCAGAGAACTCTTCCTTCACCCATGCAGGAAGGAACCAGAACAACCCATGGTAAGAGCATGTAAAACCAAAGATGATGAGCTGATAAGGGGATTTGTTATGCTTAACAATCAGACAGTATGGAAACCATAGCATGGCTAATTAATCTGTGAAATGTTCAACGTTTTTTTCCCTGCATAAAGTTTTTTTGGGTGAATTTGAAAAGGATCCCTGTCAAAGAGAGGGGGCAAGCAGCTTTGGATTGGGGTCCAGTCCTGGCTTTCTCACCTACCGACCTGAGACCTTGGCAGAAACCAGGCTGAATATGGAATGAGGTAAACACATGAGAATTCACCCAGTGAAGCTTTAAGCCGAGGAACCTTCAAACAGAGCCACCCAAGGGCCTGTTTTCCTTCTAGCTGAAGCTCCTCTTC